GGGGCTCCCTTGTATTTCTTTGCAAATTACAATTAACAAAAGGTACATTAACCCTCTTTTTTAACACAAAGTAAAAAGTCTAACATTTAAACGAATCTGTCCTTTAAAATAGGCATCACATGTCAAATTTTCTTTCGACAGACATTCACGGAACAGTTGAGACATTGACAGTGGAAGCTAATGAAATAAAAATTGAAACACTTGAGCACGAAATGGCTATGAATGGATCTGAATTAAGCAATAAGTCTCTTGAAGTTCATTCAGATGACGGCAAGTTTGTGTTACAAGTTTTCTCCAAGAGGGATGACTACTCAGAGGGCTTATTAGCAATTCCAATACAACAAATGAATGGACCAAACCAACTCAATAAAACTGTGTACGAATTCGTCGTCGCTACATTTTGTGCGGTAGGTGGGTATTGTCAGATTGCTATAGCTGCGGTAGAAAACAACACAGAAGTTTTTGTCGACATTCCGGAAAAAGTCGAAGAAATAGCAATTTGTAATAAATCATCGTATTTCCGCTCAAAAAGGGACAAAGGCTTTACGATGAACAAATTTGATGCCTTACAGCTTGAAACCACATACGATCTGACCGGAACAGTTATTTTTAGTTTTAAGCCTATTGCTGTATTTGCTGGATCAAGAAATGTAACTAATGGCGACATTGTTGCTCATACAATGGAACAACTTGTGCCTTCTTCACATTGGGGAACGGAGTTTGTAGTCAAGACCTTAGGCTCTAATGGATATGGTGATCTTTTAAAGATAGTGAGTCACTATACAAGCACGGTGGTTACCATGAGTGGCTTCCCGTCCTTCAACATGACAGAGAGATATCAGACCGTGACACGACGGCTTAGCAATGGGACGAGAAGTCACATAGAGGCTTCGCACCCAATACAGGTTCAGTATATTCGTGTTTTTATCGAAATATGAGTGCTTGAATTTATAGTTCATATTCCTTTCCTCTCATTGTGTCTTTTTAAGTATTTATCGTTATTATGCCCCCATTTCGAAGAAAAGGGGGTATATTGCTTTGCACTTGTCGGTCCGTCGGTCCGTCGGTCCGTTGGTCCGTCGGTCCGTCGGTCCGTAGACCAAATGGTTTCCGAGTGATAACTAAAGAACCCTTAGGCCTAGGAACTTCAAACTTGGTATGGTGATTGGTCATGACCAGTAGATGACCCCTATTGATTTTGGGGTCAAGGGGTCAAAGGTCAAGGTCACATTGACCTTGTAAGCAAAAACGGTTTCCAATCAATAACGAAAGAACCCTTAGGCCTAGGAACTTCAAACTTGGTATGGTGATTGGTCATGACCAGTAGATGACCCCTATTGATTTTGGGGTCAAGGGGTCAAAGGTCAAGGTCACATTGACCTTGTAAGCAAAAACGGTTTCCAATCAATAACGAAAGAACCCTTAGGCCTAGGAACTTCAAACTTGGTATGGTGATTGGTCATGATCAGTAGATGACCCCTAATAAGTTTTGGGGTCAAGGGGTCAAAGGTCAAGGTCACATTTACCTTGTAAGCAAAAAACGGTTTCCGATCAATAACTAAAGAATCCTTAGGCCTAGGAACTTCAAACTTGGTATGGTGATTGGTCATGATCAGTAGATGACCCCTATTGATTTGGGGTCAAGGGGTCAAAGGTCAAGGTCACATTGACCTTGTAAGCAAAAAACAGTTTCCGATCAATAACTAAAGAACCCTTAGGCCTAGCAACTTCAAACTTGGTATGGTGATTGGTCATGATCAGTAGATGACCCCTATTGATTTTGGGGTCAAGGGGTCAAAGGTCAAGGTCACATTGACCTTGTAAGCAAAAATGGTTTCCGATCAATAACTAAAGAACCCTTAGGCCTAGGAACTTCAAACTTGGTATGGTGATTGGTCATGATCAGTAGATGACCCCTATTGAATTTGGGGTCAAGGGGTCAAAGGTCAAGGTCACATTGACCTTGTAAGCAAAAACGGTTTCCGATCAATAACTAAAGAATCCTTAGGCCTAGGAACTTCAAACTTGGTATGGTGATTGGTCATGGTCAGTAGATGTCCCCTATTGATTTTGGGGTCAAGGGGTCAAAGGTCAAGGTCACATTGACCTTGTAAGCAAAAACGGTTTCCGATCAATAACTAAAGAACCCTTAGGCCTAGGAACTTCAAACTTGGTATGGTGATTGGTCATGATCAGTAGATGACCCCTATTGATTTTGGGGTTAAGGGGTCAAAGGTCAAGGTCACATTGACCTTGTAGGTTAAACGGTTTCCGATCAATAACGAAAGAACCCTTAGGCCTAGGAACTTCAAACTTGGTATGGTGATTGGTCATGATCAGTAGATGACCCCTATTGATTTTGGGGTCAAGGGGTCAAAGGTCAAGGTCACATTGACCTTGTAGGTAAAAACGGTTTCCGATCAATTAACTAAAAACGCTTATTCCTAGGAACTTCAAACTTTGTATGATGATTGGTCGTGACCAGCAGATGACCCCTAATAAGTTTTGGGTCAAGGGGTCAAAGGTCAAGGTCACATTGACTTTGTAAGTAAAAACAGTTTCTGATCAATAACTTAAGAACCCTTAGGCCTAGGAACTTTAAACTTGGTATGGTGATTTGTCATGACCAGCAGATTACCCCTATTGATTTTGGGATCAAGGGGTCAAAGGTCAAGGTCACATTGACATTGTAAGTAAAAATGGTTTCTGATCAATAACTAAAGAACGCTTCGGCCTAGGAACTTCAAACTTGGCATGGTGATTGGTCATGAGCAGCAGATGACCCCTATTGATTTTGAAGTCAAAGGTCAAGGTCACATTGCCTTTGTATGTTAAAACGGTTTCCGATCAATAACTAAAGAACTCTTAGGCCTAGGAACTTCAAACTTGGTATGGTGATTGGTCATGACCAGCAGATGACCTATTGATTTTGGGGTCAAGGGGTCAAAGGTCAAGGTCACATTGACCTTGTAGGTAAAAACGGTTTCTGATCAATTAACTAAAAACACTTTGGCCTAGGAACTTCAAACTTTGTATGATGATTGTTCGTGACCAGCAGATGACCCCTATTGAGTTTTGGGTCAAGGGGTCAAAGGTTAAGGTCATGACCAGTAGATACTTGATAAACCCTTATTAATTGTTTGATCACTCAGGGTCAGAAGTCATGCATAATAACTTTATCACATAACTAATTGGCTGCTGATAGGGGGCATACATGTTTTACAAACATATCTTGTTATTATTATTATTATCAAACATATAATTTTTATTCTCATCACCTTCTTATAAATATCATCATCGGATTGTTGCTGCTCAAAATTAATCATTAGTGTAATTATCAAATTTTGAAAAAATTGAGTAAGTACTAAGTAATTAATATTTGTTTGTATTTTAGGTAATTCAGATATCTGGACTAACATACGCCACAGAAGTTGAAACATCAATGCTAAGTATGACTGTAGTTCCATCAGTACAAAATGCCTGGCAATCCTTTAAGGTTGCTTGTCCGGAAAGTTACTCAACAACGCAATTTCAAATTGTATCAGGTAAAACATATAAAAATTTGCATAAGCATAGTTATTCACAAAATACGTTCTCTTTTTATTTTTTATTTCTGTCTGAATTGAAACTTTCTAAACTTTATTTCCACATTAGTGCCGTGTGGAGGCTGTAAAAAAAGTCGCCATTACAATTAATCAAAGATGTTATATTTTCGATCCTTGAAGATCGTTTAGCACAACTTTATTGTTGTATGTCCTTATTTATGGTATTTTTAGTTTCCTTCTTTTTGACCTTTTTCAAACTTGGCTGGTTCGAGTTTTCCTTCTTGCATATCGTATGATCACCCTTAGGATATGGTGGATGTTTTTTTATTTTTTTATTTGTCTTTTGACGTCTTGTATGTAATATGCAGGCTTCTTACCTCTCATTTTCTTTTCAAAATTCCATTTTGTTTAGTTTCGCCCATTATTTCGTTCAGGACACACACACGTTTTCTATTACTTGGGGACCTTACGCCGCTTTCCTAGGAATGGAACGAAAGTGTCATATTGACCATCATTTCCCCCGTATGAACACATCTACAAATGATTCTAAATTGAACATGTCACCATTGTCATGTTTAAATGTTCTACTTAAGTCGATTCTAGGGGTATTGACGGTAACTGGCATTTTTCAATGACCAGGTTGAATGATACCAAGTCTGCAACATTTTCAATGTTGTCGTTTAAGATGTTCTTTTGGGAATATGTTATCTTGTTTACCTATTTTGATAAACACCAGTTATTGATGAAATGAGTTAGACAGTGATTTATCCTAGCAATTGTTTTTATATTGGAATGAGTCACACATATTATCAATTTACAAATTAAACTTAAAATAGATACAATAAGAATCCCTAAAGAAAGCCCATCACGGTAAAATTGAAAATGTTGCAGGCCCGGTTTGATTGAGATTGTTCATGGACGGTACTGTCAAGTGCAAACTACCCTCCACGCCCAAACATGTTATATTTTAAGATGTTTATGCACAGAAAATCATTAAAAATATTTCAGTATTTCACTTGCAAATGTATGTTACAATATATGTTGTATTGTTCGCATTTATAAACCACGTTCATTACTGTTAGCAGTTCCTCCTAGAACAGTGTTCATAGCCCGTTCTCCAGCAATAAAACGCAGTAAATATTGTTGCAGAAAAAAAATCATGCACAAACACTCATGCAGATCCTGCCAACCATAATGACTTTGAGTCGTGTGCGAAAGAAAAGGACCTTTCACGGGTGAAATACACCAAATACGTTATAGGGAACATTCTTGGGACCGCTAGTGGAAGTGTCCAAAGTCTGAAAAATACTGCGTCTAACATCAGCGGAATACTTAAATGTGGGCAGACTATTTTGTTGCCAGTTGGAATTCTATACAATGAGGTAAGAGTGTATTTTATATCTACACTTTGAATGTGACGCAGCAGATTTTGTTATTTCTATTCCTTGATAATATTTAAAAAAATGCTCATACAAACAAAAATTCAACATCGATTAGAAACTAGCTCTGAATTTTACAGTATATGTGTTAATTTATTATCATTTTATTGAACTTAATTCTAAATTAAATACATTTAAGCTAGACTGTTAGGAACGCAAGACTTATTGTATTTACCTCGGTCGCCTTCACACTTTAGTTAGGGTTTTGCGTGAAAGTTTGTGTCCAAACTGCTGAATATTATGATGAAACTTCAACCTCTTGTTCTCTGTTGTAATATTAAGATTCTTCACCTTTGTGTATTTGTTTCTTTATTTGGTAGCATATTTACATATCGTTCAGCATTGCAACTTTTGATAAAGAACCCGGTATCAAACTGATTTGCAAACATTGACCAAAACAATAATTATGTCTGCAATTACATAGACATATTAAAAAACTGTACGTTAAACTAAATACATGATATACGAGGGGCATATTTAGATTAGTGGCAACCACTCGATTTCACCATTTTTTGCTGATGGAAGTAAATGTATGATACCTGTTGGACGATTATTGATTTTTTTATCCAACAGTTTTATTTTTGCCAACGATTTAAATCGGCAAAAAAAATTTCGCAGGTCTTTTTAAAATACAATGGTTTAGTAAAACAATTTGTAGACAGGGCCCGAGTTGTTTTGTATTGATTATTGAAAATAAATTTGTTGGTTTTAAAATTTCCCTTCGTGGAAAAATTAAAATGAATCTAGAATAAGTAAATGGAGAAAATGCCCTTCCGTATCGTACAATTGCACAGTCGGGTGTCAATGTTAACGGTTCAAAGATCGAGATCCTAGACACCTAAGAGAAATTGTCACAGGGGATAGAACTTTGCTTTTTTTGTGCCCGACAATAAAATTAACTTAGTAACGAAATGTGGGTAGGTTAAAACAACGGTCACCAAGTTGTTGTTTTAAGTATCAGGAACGTTAAAAGAGTTGTGTGCGCTCTATATTGTGACAGTGATGGAACAGTGGCCCGTGTCGCTGTTCCTAAGAGGGGAAATGTCAATAAAACATGTTTCCTCGACCATGCTCTCACTGCTGTAGTTAATCACTACATTACAAAGAACTCAATATCCGGGGTGCGCAGGATCAAATTACTCCATGACAATGCACCTGTGCACCGGTCAGCCTTGAATAAGCTTATTTAGAGGAACAGAGAATTGTGGTTTTCCTACATCCCGCTTATAGTCATGACCACTTTCCGTGTAACTTTTAGTTAAATCTATACATCAAATCGTGCCTTCGCTGCCGCCGATTAAAAACCCGCAGCGCTGTCTGAGCCAGTCCCTACCAGTGTATAAAAAGTAGACCAAAAGAAGAGTTCAAAAATGCTTTTTAGAATGGATTTTGAATTGGTAGTATGTGTAGGTGTCCATGGTGAATATTTTGAAAAGCTCAACTTCGACTTATTTATAAAAACACACTGCCATTTATTAAAATATGCCCCTCGTACACTTATAGGCATTATCTTTATTTGACTGCAATGGAATAGATGTTCTTTAATTTAACCAATTATAAAACTGAAAGTAATATTTCTAGAAATGAAATGCACTTAGAATTCCTGATTCTTGTCTAGTTTTCGGAATAAGAGCGTATTTGATAAGAATTTGTTGAAATCAAAATTTACAACAACAAAAACCATGTTGCACTTGTTTTGATTTATAAACCTTTATTTTATTTTTCAAAAAACGTTTTATATATCATATCAAATTTGTGAAAAGTGACGCACAAAAATATTTTGAAACAGAAAACATGCTTAATGTTTTTGCAGCTAAATCCTTGCTAGCAATGTTATCTTTAAAATATTTAATATGATAAACAAGATCAACAAGGTCAAGATAAACCTATTTTATGCGACCATTTTCCCTATAAACGTATGATTCACTTATATAAGACTATTTGTTGTTTGATTAGATTGACAGTTGGTGTTTGAAAAATTGGAAATACTTACATAATACACGCATATGTGTTACAAAAATATTTGTATTTCTTCCTGTCCTAAAATATTTATGTCAGGCAATAAAGGATAAATCATACTTCTTTATACAGAATGTGCTGGGAACGATTCCTGTTGAAACTCCTGAATATCCTGGAGGAGTCTGCAAAGGTATAAAGACAAACACAATGTAACTAACCGCATTCTTTCTATTTAGAAGGAAATAATAAATACCATATGCGTTCTATCTAGTATTACCACACAAGTAACAAAAACCATCAGCGTTCTACCTGTTTTAGAAATTGGTGATAAAAACAGAGTTCTGTTTATTTATCAGCGTTTCGTCTACTTAGAAAGAAACAAGTTATACAAATTATCAGCGTTCTGCCTATTTTAGTAAAACGTGATAAATATAATCAGTGTTCTATCTATTATTATCAGCGTTTTGTTTTTATTTAGAAACAAGAAATATATATATTATAAACATATTGAAATGCAAAACTGTGCACCTTACCTTAGGGTCAGGGGACCTTAAATGAGCAATTGTTAAATAAACACAATACAAAAAAAAGTCAAAATCTCTTACATAAGCAGTAAACCAGTTCCTCATCAATATTAAAAGTATGTGACATGTATTGAAGAAGATTACATTCGTTGCTTCTAAAATTTAATATGTGTTTACCAGCAAGATTTAAACTCACACCATAACTATACTGAAATTGACCATCTCCGTGAAGGTGCAGGGTACTCCAGAATTTGCCCGATTTCTTAAAATTAATTGTACCAGCAGTGCAATCAATAAAACTTTCAAAGATAACTGTCACATGATTAGATTTTTAGGATAATTGAATAAAATTTTCTTAATTGCTCGGTACAACCTTACAGTGCTTGATTTTCAACTATTTTAATTCCATTAGGAGAGACGCAAAGGTATACAAAACTATAAATATGTAAAGTTTTTGTGTATATACTCAATATACTGCTCCTCTCCTACACACAACGAAGAATGGCAGTGAAATATCAAAAGTTTTCAATATCGTCAATACACCAAGTAAATATTAGAGATAAATATCGTTCGGCAATTATTCGAATATGTCCCGTGCCACCATACTGTCGCTGGTGTTTTTGTGCATATCTAATTGTAATGATCTTTTACAGGAATATAATTTTTATAACATAATCATATGTATAGTATTCATGTTTACCCGGATGACTTTAATTAATATCAGATCCAAGAAGTAAACTTACATTACTTTAGTTATGAATCATTTCCTTACAGACCTTTGAAAAGTCAAAGTGTTGACTTTAATTATGATCCACATTTTCGACAACGAAAGTAAAAAAAAAACTTTCTCGAAAGTCTACATTCTGGGTTAATGCTGAATTCATGGCAACAATAGTCAAACAATTATCCAGCAAAACTATTGACAAAACTAATTATTTAGCATATAAGCATTCTTTCCATTTCTTCTTTTGGTCTGTACAAAACTGATATATTTAAACCGTTCAAAATCCCATGGTCACATTCTTGCATTTAATAATACTTTATTCAAGGACATACAAAAAAGAGTAAATAATAAACCAATGAAAACTTTTGCTACTTGATGATTAAAATGAACAATATATGTGTATAAGTATGTCCATGTATTCTGTTGAAAATTTATCTTCATATTCTTCCAATTACATTCTTAAAAGTTTAAAAAGAAACTTAAAGCTCTACTACTGAAACAATCATTATTCATTTCGTTATCTTATCTTTATACAGAAGGTGGCAAAGGCACAACGGCACCAAACCTTCCTTATCACCTAGACTTGCAAAAATATTCAGAGCATGCGCTTCATCTTAGAGTTCAGGTTTGCGGGTCTGCAACTTTGCGATTTATGAGCTTGTCAACTACGATAGATGCACTAGTTAGCTATGAAGGAATACAGATAGCCTCATGCGAAACTTCCTGTGAAATTCTTAATAAAAGTTCAACTGAAGACAGGTTATATCGTTATAATGTTTGTTCTTATTATCACTTTTTTCTCTATTTCTTTGTTATCATTTTCTTATTTATTTATTTATCTTAACGGTTGAAAGTGTCGTGTTGTCAAAATTAAACCATTTTTAGCTCCACTTTTTTAAGAAAAAAATAGACCTACTGTCAAGACAGGATGTAATTTGTAATTAATTAAATTTTAATTTTGCAAAGGAATGGTATTTTCCGAATACGAATCTCAAGGTTAACCTTTTTGGGATTGTACATTTCCCAAAAATATCAAACACATTCACTTCAATCATTAGGTACTTGATTAATTACAATTTAGTGCATTTCCTAGGGGGAGTTTATCATGAAACATCTTTTTGCTCAAATATTTACATTTTATCACATTCACATCTTAACCTAAAATATGAACCATCATGGTAGATAAGTCTGTCAAACACGATTGCAGAATAATCCCCCTTTTCTACTAAGTTTTATTCTAATTTTGAGCACTGAGAAAAGTCGAGCGCGCTGTCCGGGGACAGGTCTTCTTTAAACAAGTAATTAAAAATAATCAATAGCCATTATCTAACTGTACAACACATTAACTTTCATATAACTTTTACCTATTGTATAATACATTATATTATATATACCGGTGTAGCAACAACTGATTGTTTATTTATATATTCAGTACACTTGAATGAATTTTAACATTCAAAGAGAAACTATTAGATTTAGTTAATGGCTAGAACATCAACGATCAGATATCGATATGAAAAAAATTAACGACAATGTACAGAAATATTCGATTGGTGCAAATAGAAATCTGGGGTTTAATTATATATTACATGTATATAAAACAAATGATAACGATAATAAAATATGATAAACAAGTTCAACAAGGAAAGGCGGCGTTCAATGAACGACCCAGCAACAAGAACCAGTGGCAAGGAGCCCAGGCGGACCCCAAACAAAAACAGGACAGGGCACGGACAGTTAAATCACTAACAAGATATATAATTTGTAACTGATAAGGAATTCAAAGAAAACAAACAAATGATTGAATAATAGGCCCACAAAGTCAAAGGGCACATGGGAAGGAGACAGGAGACCGAGGGAGGCAGGGGGGCAATCAAAGAAATAAAAACTAGGGGCAAAGGAGAAGATACTTAACAACAAGGGACACAATAATAAGTGTCACCAAAACTGTATAAAATAACATAGACATACATCTGAGGAACACAGAAGGGCACCGCCTTGGAACGGTCAGCAACATAATAATGACTGCTGGGGAGTTTAAACCGGTTAATGGTGCACCAAACCTCGCTCTCAGCCATAAACGAGACAGTGTAAATAAAATGAATCCCCGCCAAGTGAAATTCTAACAGTTGTTATGGTTACAAAAGGTTAAATAAGTAAAACACCAAAATGATCATGTAGAAACATATAAAAGTAAACCAAATGACCATAACAAAAGTAGTCAATGTCCCAAAGGAAAAGCAGCAACAAGAAAATAACCTACAAGGGCTCGACGAAGCAAGGCATAAGACGAACATTAAGACAATTCAGTCCCTTTTTGTTTATGTTCGTTTTCTTTTATCGATCAAACAATAAAAATACAAGTTCTACAAAGGAAAAGTAGGGAAACGAAGTATGGTTTACCCTAAAAAATGCAGCGCTTTGATGTGTGCGTAAATGTTAACTGTCAATTATAAATAGTTTATATGTTCGAAATTGATAAAAAGTTAGGTGTTGACGATAATATATGTACATGTAGTTGTAAAATTTTATAAAACTTTAAACATTTAAAATATATACCCGCCTATAGCATATTTATACCCCCACCCGAGGGGGAAGGTGGGATTTAGATTTGCCCTTGTCAGTTTGTGCGTGCGTGCCTCCATTCCAAAATGTTGTGTGACGTGTAGCTCTGATGGTGCTCGTGCCTAAGTCAACAAACTTTACAGGAATGTTGATCAGCATGAAGTTGTGCACATGGGGATTCGCGTGTTGATTAATCCAGTTTTTTAAGAGTAATTGCCCTTGACATTAAAAATTTGGAATTTTCAATTAAGTTGCATGTGGCTCAAATAGGATTTGATTTGAGTCTTGAAACTTTACAGTAATTTCGGTCAGAATGTGCGATTGTGCACCTTGGGTTTGCTTATTAATTGAGTCAATATTTGTAGTTATTGCTTTTGACTTAAGTAAAACTTTCAATTTGTGTCGTGCTTTACTCAAAAATGTTTGACTAAGAGTAATGAAACTTTACAGGAATGGTCAGCACGAGTAGTTATGCATCTGGAGTTTTGCTTGTTTTTGTTTGTTCAAGCATACTTTAGGAAATAAAATTGATGTTTGAAATTCTAACAGCTCAATATTGGAAACTTGGATATTACTTTTATGCCAAAAACATTTAGTGGTAAGGAAATTCCTTTGTCTGTCCGTCTGTCATACTGTCCTGTTGTACGTCAGTAGACTGACAAAGCAATGAAATATTCGGGCATCTGTGTCCACAGGGACACATTTTCAGTTTTTAGTTTTAATCTATTTCATATGTGTTTAATCCGGTATTTGTTTTTATCGATTGGTGTATCGTTAAAAATGTCTTGAAACAGAACAATTTTCGTGCAGTAAAATGGATTACTTCAGAAGTCAATATATCATTTGTTGTTTGTTTGTTTGTTCGTTCGTTGTTTAAACCGCCCGTTGCATTTTGATGCATTTCGTGAGAATGAAATTCCAATGTTCTTTCCTGTCATGTCACCTTGATTTTTTGATGGATTTCTTTTTAAATTTATTCGCTTGTTCATTAACTATCTAAAACGTCAGTAAACTCAAATTAAACATTTATAATATTTTAGTTTCAACAAAGACGCAGGTATCAGCTGTACATCTGACATGTCGTTTTTCTGGTTCCGACAAGTTAATAGTATGTTTTGTCTAGGAACTGGCTATCACAACGAAGACGAATGTGTTCAAGGTTCCACACGGGACAATGTAATACGAATTCGAACGACTGACTCTATCACCAATGTTTCAATGATGGGCACAGTTGCGGAGGCGACCTTTAATTGGGGTGTGTATTTATACTTATTTATTCATATTTTCCTTATTGATTTCAGTCGATCATAAAAAACACATTTGTATATTCACACAATTTTTCGAATTAAATCTTCTATGATTTTAATTTTAATTCAGAAAATTATGTTTTTCCTCTAAGTTGAAAAGGAATAAAGTGTAGATTCGCCTCGATTGAATCTTATCATTTATTTCAGATTTTATACATGTCAATGGTTGCAAGGAATACGAAAATGGTAAGTGAAAACTGAAATCAACATTAACTTTAATGGAATGGGTAAACTTAGGCCCCAACCTGTACGACATTTATAAATGTTTACCTGGATTGTTTAAATAAAAAAGTGTTGTAGTTTTTTTTTTTCAGGCATATAATATACATCTGTCCCGTCCAACTGCAACCTTCATTCTAAACAAAGCGATGTACCTGGTTCTTAGTTTTCTTTTGACCATGTTTTCTAATTTTAAACCGGTACTAGAAAGTTCGTAAGTGCAAACACGAGGGTGGTTCAAATTAATTTAAAGTTTTCTTCTATATTGAGTCTAAACAGATACATTCTTTCAATTAACTGATATTCAATAATTCAACTGATACCATATAAACATTTATATTCAATGAACTATTTCAATCAATATCAATATTACGTGTTCGGGAACTTGGGTTCTACTTCAAACAAATCTAAACGAGTATGCGCCTTTAACTTTTATTTCCTTGATAAACGTCGATAAGCGTTGATAGGCGATTCTTGATTTTGACTTGTCTCAATACATCAAGTTCCAGATTTAAATTTACGAGATTCTCAATAACAAAACAAAACAAAATATGATGACGTCGACGTAAACATTTTACGTCGCGTTAAGTAGCGTAACCTATTGACGCCATTAACAATGTTAACAAATCTGAAGTTCTTAGAAATCAATACGTTGCCATGAAATTACTCTTAAATTTCATCATAAATCGCAATAACTAGTACATTTACAAGACACAAATTTGACCTTTTAAACTTAAATATATGTATATTCGAATGGTTAATGTTTAAGCTTAGCTTTTAAACTTTAAAGTGTCAATAAGCAACATGAGTATGGCTAAGGTGAACTTTCAAGTAGACACAATTTAGTAATAGATTTCACTGATTCAGTGTCTTTGTATTTCACAACACAACTTCTATCATGTCCATCTCGGCTTTCTCGTATCTGGATAACGTGTCCTAAATGCCATTGTCCCCGTGTAGTATTCTCGTCCGAAACTAACACAATATCACCAACACGGAAATCTGTAGTTTTCCTCTGCCATTTTGAATGACTTTGCAGGGACGGTATGTATTCACGGACCAATCTTCTCCAAGGTTTTTAATTTTAATTCCGCAATCAAACGTTTTGCTTTTGCATTTTTCAATTTAGCCTGTGATGACACGGAATTTGCACTGCTTACTGTAGATAAAACATCATCATCAGGTACTTTCTGCACATATTTCCACTGTGAAAATTTTCCGAGTTGCGAAGATCGTGAACGCTTAACACTACCAAAAATCCTCATGCGTCGGATCTGTTCCATTTACGGTAGATACTTCCTCCATATTGAAGAAATCGAGAATTGTCGCGATTATACAAAGACTTGGAACTGAAAATGATATCACATGAGAACGCAGATGAGGTACAAATATTGTATGACACGTTGTGTGAGCGCTTGAATCATTTAAATCAGCACATTTGTTATGCTTAGACTTATGCTCAGACCCGGATGTACGGAAAACGCTTGAATTGAATTATGAACATTGAAGTCATAACTTCTTTGAGTGCCATTAACAACGTTCACAAATCTGAAGTACTTAGAAATCAATACGTTTCTAACAGTACGGTATACATCTTTATCACATAAATCACAGCGCAGCAATTAGATAAAAACGATATAACACTAGTTTATTTTTATTTTATCCTTATATTTATCCGTGAACATTATAAATTGATAATATTACAGTAATAATTATCAAAATTTAAGAAAAATGACAAACATGATTTCAAAGCTCTCTGTATCTTTCCTTTGTTTTTCTGCATCGAAATAGTGGCAATCTTGATACTGATATATTTCGCATATTTTACAAATATACATTTGTATTTAGATTTTACATACTATCATCCTTTTTCATGTAAGCATGGTAGTCAAGCTAAACGTTATGGCGTTTTTAGAAGAATCGTGATTTTCGTTGACGATTCTTCTAAACAGTCTTTAGTTACGTTGAATATAAATATATTCTGATAGAAATTATCCATAATTATCGAGGTTAATCAAAATTGATCCTCTTACTCCTGTTCATAAAAGTACTAGTTCAAGTATACGATTAAATACTCTTGTTACCATATATAACAAATTATATATGATTTTAACTCATTATGAGTGTCACGTGACCAATTATGAGGCTCGCTTAAAGCGAGCACGTGAAAAAACTGAAACAGTGACGACACATTTTACGTCGCTTGCTTTCATGAGCAGCACAGTATTATTGAAATATAAAAAATAGGAATATCTAATTAATAACAAAAAGAAAATTAAACTTGCTTCATGATTCTAGTGAACATTGTATTTACGGGAAGCAACTCTCTGGAAGTTACTGTACAGCAACCGGAATTTCAACAACTGATTATCAAAGTAATTAAAATAAAACATTCGCGCGCTTTAACGTCATGTTTTTATATAATGCTTTATGACGTCGTGTCAACTCGTTATTACACCAGTTTATTACATGCTTTTCGGTGGTTTATAGAAATATATCAGGGGAGTAAATAACTGATATTTCACTGTTTGAAACAGTGAAATTATCAATTTGATATTTTTCACTGATTTGAATTTAAGCCCGTTACGTGATTTTAGTGAAATACCAGCGTGCACAGTACTAGAAACCAACTTAATTACGTGATGTCGTAAATGTATATTTATTTGGCGGCTTTTCATTTAGTATTAGGTTAAAATGTCTTTTTAAACGTTTTTTTGCATATAATAATAAAAAAAACATTGTTTAGTTTAGTGTAAGATTGAAATAAATTTCACCTCGCTAACATTAAAAATCCATATTTCACTCACGTCCGGGGAGATCCGGGAACCATCGGGGTACGGCCGGAAAAACCGGACTTCATCAGTAACTCTGCCGGCAACATCCGGGATGATCCAGGAACATCCGGCATTCAACCGCGGATGGAATTAAATATTGAATATCATCAGGGTGGTCTGGGGCGAACCGGGAAGTATAGCTTTGGTCGCTTGATCTTCAGATCTGTCGGACACGACCAGGGTTACACCGGGTAAGCACCGTAACTCTGCAAGCACATACCGGGGATGTATGATATAGCCAGTAGAGCTACGGTAGAGTCCCTGTGATTGCCGCAGAGCCCAGGTAAATGAAGGCAGAGACCCGGAGAAATATATTTTTTAGAAATTACCCACGTGATGTCATTTGCATTATATACATACTGTTAGAACCCGTCATTGTCAGAGTTACACTATAGGCACGTTAATAAAAAATGACTTTTTAGATATGCGATAAAAAGAATACTTATATTATATTCGTGTAAACTTTATACTAAATATATTGAACTCGTTGAAAAATAACTTTATTACGCTCACCAGTCTCGCATTATATGACTTTATTCAACTCAGTATTAAATCTACATTCATTCAATATCATCTATAAATATGATGTAAGAACATTCCCTGTAGCATTTCTAAAAGTGACATTACGCAATATTTCCATTGTCAAGTTGAACTGAATTGACTATATATGTATTAGAAAATCAACTGATCAACCAACAGTTGACATTAAAAAGTTAAGATGAAATATAAGTCTGTCTTAAAATATGAAAAGCCCGCTCTTTTTATAAATTGAATGTTACAGTTAAATTCCGATGGGAATTTATAAAAAAATTTCCTCGGGCCACGTTTGTTATATATGAAATTTACTCTCTCTTATGTCGAGAGTAAATCAATTATTCTCTAATCTACTATAGCAAACAACAACAACAAATACATAGGGATAACGCTTAATATTTGGTAGTACATATAACAAATCAATAGACTCAATCGGTTTTTATCTGTATCTGTGATGTTCTTGTATTTGGGATTCATCAGATGTATAGCATTATTGCTGTATCCGAAACTCTGAAACGAAACTAAAACAGATCTGAATACATGGTAACAAAATATTACAAAAAGAATAATAAATTGTGTAATCTGTAAAATATTTAATAACAAGTTATGCTTATAAAAACAAAGAAAATTCATTAAATTAAGCAACTTTAATAAGTTACGTATATTTTAAGAAACGATTCCCGAGTCATGCGAAGAATAATGTAAAAGCCTAATTATTCAGCAAGAATGTGTATGAAAATATTACATTACATAAACGTTTGTTGTAAGAAGGGATGGGATCGGGTGGGGCATATTGAAACAAGTTCTTGCAGCACTACCAAATGCAAGCGTCGATTGAATAAAAACCGCGAAAACACTATATATTTAACCCCACTAACCCACGAAATACACGAGCACCGTTTAAAGGAACTATTTAAGGTATATTTGACTTAAAGTACAGAAACCATACATAAACGCACATTCAAACTATATCCGATACGAGAATAATTTCATAAATCATAAGATTGTAAGGATTTATGACAAAATGTAAATTTATTTTGTCTTTCACCTGTTCACTGACTATATACTATGTCACTTTAAAACTAGTCACTTAAAATTCCAGAATCTTTTCTTATTGTCCTTAAAGTTTCGACATTTTGTTTCCCATTTTCTATTTGAAACTGATAGCAAGGTCACAGGAAGCGGTGCCTCATGCCAAATGTTTATGAACCCGTAATACTTCTTTATCACATTTCAGGATGGCGCTGTACAGATAGACTTGTGAATTGTTCCAAGTATGAAGAAGGCTTTTGTACACGATATGCAGACTTTGCGAAATATAATTGTGCAAAATATTGTGGAATTTGTAAGTTACCAATATAGTTTAGAATCCTTACTTATTTGATCATAAAGATCTTGCGATGATTTGAGGACAACAGAGTGTTTTCTGTTTATTGTTTTCTTATGTTTGCTTTATTTTTCTTATATTCCACGAAAAATAATTTAACCCCTCAAAGTTATGAAGATATTATCCTTTGCTATTTACATACTTATTTTTCCCGGACCATAACTGATAAATTTGCGAAAACAATTTAAAACTTCAAAAGTTGATAGATCTTATAAAAGAGGAGTTGTGTGTATATTAATTTCATAATATGTTGATTTTCCCTTTTTATAATTTGCTTTCTCTTTGTTATGATTAAATCCCAAATGGGGTATATAAGTTTAAAACAATTAAATGGAGTGCAAAGCAGAATAATAACTTTACACTTCATTATCTTACAGTTTTTACATTTTGCTTCTTTACTTGATTTTTTTTCTTAGAGATATGAAATAGACTCTTCATTTCAGACATGACAATTTGAGTACATTATTGTCGAATAATGCGCAGTTTGTGTTAAAATGCGTCTTGGATTACACTCATGATCGTCGATAAGTCTGAGTGATTAAGTACATGGCATTTGAACAAGACTTTACTATAATGCAATAAAATTGATTTTTGTTTCCATTTAACATGCTAATAGAAAAGAAGAATTTATAACAATATGTTGAAATACATAGAAGTAATTTCCTGACGTCATTTGGTTTATTGGGGCCATATTAGTGTAAGCGTATCTTTTGAATAATGTGCAATTAGAAATTTAATGACCTGTATTTGTAATCTGGTAGGCTCTGTGAGCTGTCAAGATCTATTTAAGTAGGGCACTGCAGTGTGAACTATTTAGTAATCTGTCTCAAACCTAGGCTGCTTAGAGTTCAAACTGCTCACCGTGACTGTAATATGGCCGCTTTGAGTGTTTGGTGTGGTGGTCGCTTCTTAATGTTTGGACTATTAAATCAATATTCTATAATGATCTTGGAAAATGCCTTAACTGAACATAAAGAAAACAATATTTCTACAGTTGATAAATTTATTGTTTTTTTTTTTTTTTCTCATGGACTTACAAATACAAAAAATTCAGTAAATTAAGTACATTTTATGAAGAAAATAGATCTTTAAACATAGTGGACAGTCGCGGTAAAACCACAAAAATGACGCACATCCGTCAATTGCAAAGATATATATATATATAAGTAGATGTTATAAAGGCAAAATTTACAGTTCCTGTAATTCTAAGAAGAAATTAACTTTACACCACAAATTAAATGCACACATTTTAAAATTCATTGAAACTATCAAAATACGATGTGCCTAAGGGAAATTCGAAGCTGGAAGACCCCGAATGAAAGTAGACGGGCAATTTATATGCCACCGACCCCACACAATCTACAACTTCTTTGAAAGAACGCTCCACAGATATCTTTTAGGGTCCATAAAAACTTTTGTGGAAGGAACGCTCCTTAGTTTTTCATGTGGAAAGTCACTAACTGTTTTATGGGGTCCTTAAACATTTTACGGATTAAAAAAACTTTTAAGCTCCTGGTCAATAAAATGCACTGCAAACCTATAAAACAATTAGACACACCCAAATTTTAGGTTTTCTAGCAGGAATACAATGATACATCTTAAAAATGAGGTTTAGAACTTTATCAGAATGTACATCATTCAGCGTTGTTATGCGAGTGAACAAAAGTAGTAACAAAAATGCGGCAAAAAAGGTGTGATATTCAAAACATTGAAAATGAGTACACATGCTAATTTAAGTGGTTTCATTCATTGTTAACATTTTTCTAGGACTTATTTATCAAATCAACAAGAGAAAAAGACAAACAATAATGTTAACAAATTTTGCGAAAACTGTATACAATTGTGTACCGTACGAGGCTGTCATTTAAAGTACCATTAAAAAATGTGTTATAATATGAAAATTATCAGACTGCAGGCATGTTTATTGATAAACATTTATTAGACGTTTACATGTTATTAATTTGTTTTTTTTTATTTATTTATTTATTTATTTATTTATTTATTCAATGGCAGGCTTTGCAGACAGCTTTGGTAGGAAATTCCTAGTAAGACTACATTTGAAGTCTTTGCAAAAATGCTGGATTTCAGTAACATCACTCAATAGAAATACTCACGTTGGAGTGACAAGAAGTGTCAAGGACGAACCTTAAGTATCTATTACCAGCACTCGAGATGATGAAGATAGCGGAAGATATTATGACTGTTCAAATATCAAATTCATTCTCAAATTAAAATTAACTCTTAAAAATAAGGTTTAGGACTTTATCAGAAAGTATATCATCCAGCGTTGCTTTGCGAGTGCTAGTCGTGTGTAAACAAAAGTAGTAACAAAAATGGCCGGCTGCAAAACGTGTGGTATGCTTAGTTCAGTGGTTTCATTCATTGGTAACATTTTTCTAGGATTTATCTATCAAATACAATCGATATTTAGCTCTAAACCTGTCAGAAAAAAGACAAACAAAAATAACTTTGCGAAAACTGTATACAATTGTGTATCGTAAGTGGCAGACATTAAAAGTTCCAGTAAAGAAATTGTCTTTCAATATGAGGATTAACAGACTGCAGACATGTTTATTGATATGAGACGTTAATATGTTATTTATTTATTTATTTTATTTTATTTTCTTACTTACTTATTCTTTTTTTTTTGCCATGACAGGCTTTGCAGATAGCTATGGTAGGAAATTCCTGGTAAGACTACCTTTAAAGTCTTTGCAAAAATGCTGGATTTTAGTGACATCACTCAATGAAAATACCCACGTTGGAGTGACAATAAAAAAATACGTCAGTAATCAACCACCTGAAGTAGAATCCATTTCCAGTGAACGAGGAGATGAAGATGACGGAATATATTATAATTGTTCAAACATGGATAACATTCTCAATTTTGAAATAATAAGTGATGACGATGTTGCTGTAGTTGTATATTACATTTATGGCGAACAGAATACGGAAATAAGAAGCTCAAGAATATACCCAGTTGATATATATGGGACAGAGTTCATGCTTTTTGCACATGATAAAACGGCTAAACAATGCTGGTTTATATCTGAGCATGTAGATGTTAATGTTACAGTATTCTTCTTTGGTAATCCTGGTCCATTTAAAGACTCTGAGAGCATTTCTGTTCTTGAACGTTCTGTGTTTATGTTGGAAAATAATAATGAAATTTCTGGAACCAGTTTTGTTTTTAATAAACCGTCTATGGTGTATTGTTATGATAAAAAGACATTAACTGCTTTAAACTATTTCCTACCGGTTAACACATGGTCTAACGAATACGTTGTCCCTACCGCTGAAATTGAATCAAATGAACGTCAGTTTAAAGGCATTTTGCACATCGTTTCGTATACTGATAACAATATTGTGACAATATCTGGCGGCTTTGATGCTAAACATGCAATTTATAACAAAGGAGATAAGATTGAACAAGAAATAGACGTAGCTGTACCATATCGTTTAACATCAGTAGGAAATATCGCGGTTGGATTATATCTACAAGATAATGAGGATTCCAGCAAATATACATTCAGTTTGTTACCTTCCACTGAAAATCATCACGACACTATTTTGACATCCGTCCCGGCAAATCGTTATACTGATATGGATACTACAAACACAGAATTTTCGACATTTTCGGTCGACCGAAACCTTGTTGAAAGAAATGAGAAAATGTTGTTAGGCAGAGACAGTCACTCAGAGCTATTCGAACAGAAAGTAACCACTGACGAATCCAAATATGAAATTGCAATGTTGCATTCAGGCAATAGATGGCTATTCGTTCCGGGAAATATAAAAGCAAAATTCCTTTTACAGGTGACGAATACACGTTTGATTTTTTTATATTTAATATATTTTTTAATAATTTCGATATAATTTACAGTTGAAAATACGACAAAGCTGCAAATAGATTTATAGTTCAAAAAGAAATCTTAATAATTTGTTGATGATAAGGTTTTAATACTGTAATGGGCAACCAAAATGTTTGAGGAAAGATTCTATTTTTATCTTTAATTTACATGAAATATAGTTGAATTTCTACTACGTTCTACATATTGCGGTCAAGTGCTAAAGGTCACCGACTTCTAACCAAATGTCCCTCATCGATATGGGTTCGAATCCCGATAGGGAATTTTTTATTAGTCCCCTACCGGTTTACCGGAGGGGACTTTAGGTTTACCCTCCGTCCGTCTGTCTGTCCGTCCGTCTGTCCGTCTGTCTGTCAGTCCGTCAGTCCGTCCGTCCACAAAACTGGATCCCGCGATAACTTGAAAAGTACTGAAAATATTTTTATGAGACTTGGTATATGGATAGATGGCAGAATGTAGATTATGCACGTCTTTTTATTTTCTTCCTATGTTGAAAATTCTGGTTGCTATGGCAACAAATAGGCTGAAAATATGGCAAATTTTACACATAAACTGGATCCAGTGATAACGCAAAAAGTACTGGAAATATTTTTATGAAACTTGACATATGGGTAGATGGCAGTCTTGAGATTATGCGCGTCTTTTTCTTTTCTTCCTATGTTGAAAATTCTGGTTGCTATGGCAACACATAGACTGAAAATATGGCAAATTTTACACATAAACTGAATCCAGTGATAACTCAAAAAGTACTGGAAATATTTTTATGAAACTTGACATATGGGTAGATAGCAGTCTTGAGATTATGCATGTCTTGTCTGTTCTTCCTATTTTGAAAAAATATCTGTTGCCTTGGCAACAAATAGGTTTAAAACATGGCAAATATAACAATATTTGTGATTTGTCAAAAAGAGCTGAAAATTTTTATGAAATTGCATCTTTAATTCAAGAGTTATCTCCTCATTAAGAATTTTGCTTTTAAAATGTTATATTTTGGTAACAGGGATGTTTCAGATATTAACTTTAGAGTGTCCTTCAGTCCGTCTGTCTGTCTGTGCATAAAAACTGTTTCCTGTGATCACTTTTAAAGAACTATTCCAACAAATTTACTTAAAATAGAGAAAAATTGAAACATTAGTGAATGGCCAATGGCCCTTCAGAATGTTGATGGGGTTCTAACCGGTAGGGGACTTATGGATTGCTTGCAATACTATGATAATTGCTTGTTCTTTCTAGTGAAGAAGATATGAAACTAGTTAACGAAAGGCTCTATCAAGTCAAAAAAGCTGGAAAGTCGTCATTTTAACTTGGGAAACTTAATACCCGACCAAAATGAAAAGTAACTTGGAATTATCTTGGCAACTGACATTGGTTATAATAAAACTGAATTAACAATATTGACATCACTATGCTGTATCATGTTATCCAATCAATGGCGGCAATGCATATTGTATGAGTACTCTCCTTTTGAAAGTCCGGTAAATATTCAACAATCAAAATATAAAACAAAAAGACCAGCCTAAGGTTGTTTGTATCGTATAGCTTAATATCAAGCATTTATTCTAATGCTATAGTATTGGAAATTTTGTGAGGCCAAATTTCCGGGATAAAGAGCTAATTGGTCTTGAATAGACATATTTTTCATAAGTATTTCAAATATTAATAAATTGTATAATTTGGACATTATTACATCTTCTTTTATGAAAAAAGAAAAAGACTACAAATGCTAAACACTTTCTGATGTGTACATTTATACAATGAAAAGATATTTTGAGCTAAAACAGTTTATTACCTGTTTTATGGGTAAGCAAAATCAAATCATGCATCCCTTAATTACCAATAACATCCATTTATTTTTTAGTGATTTCTTGTTATGTATCATAATTGTTTATGGTATCACATACCTTCTATTTTGAACTGATTTAATGTCCGCTGATTTATACTAGGCTAAGCATTTATTTTGAATGTATAATGATACTTTAAATATGAGTGAACATCGCGAACATTTTCAAATAGCGATCTGAGAGATTGAGAGAAAATGTCATACCTTTTAAAGATCAAGTATGCAAATTATTTTTGCATTTTAGCAAGAGAAGAATATCTGCAGAATATCAAAGTCGACACACGGTGATGGGATTGACAATGACTGTGATGGTTTGATAGATGAAGATGGTTTCTATGATGACGGTTACGGGGTTTATAAAGAAGGTAAAGGATGGAGGGTTATATTTATATAAAAACGTTTATATTCAATGGTCTATGTTGTGTCTCGTTTTTGATTAACTTAATTACATTCATATGCTTATTAAGAAAGATGTTTTTAAATGATGATATACATTTGTTTTAATGTCAATTAAAGCATATAAAAGAATTGTGAAAAAATTTATGGAATATAAACTACAAATATTTGAAATGATATTTATATATAAGGTGCTTTCACGGAGAAGGAAGGGCGGCGTCCAATGAGTGTATCCAACAATAAAAACTAGCTACACAGGACGGCCAACGGGCATCCCAGGAGGGCACACAGAATTTAAATATGCGCTGGGAAAAAAATATGATAAAAAAATAATAAAATAGACATAAAACTTTTTTTGCGAGAAAAAAGAACACTGTATTATTAAGTTATCAGACGTTTTCTTTCATTTGTTAAATAAATACATGTAATTGGGTTTATTATACCCCCGCACAACAAAGTTGTAAGGGGGTATACTGGAATCAGCTTGTCCGTCCGTCCGTCCGGCCGTCTGTCCGGCTGTCCGTCGGTTTTTTCTTGTCCGCCCAATAACTTAAGATTCCTTTGACCCTTAGTCTTCATATTTGGCATGGAGGTTAGTCATGATTAGTAGATGACCCCTATTGATTTTGAGGTCACTAGGTCAAGGTCACAGGGGCCTTGACTTCAAAAAGCTTGTCCGCCCAATAACTTAAGATTCCTTTGACCTACAGTCTTCATATTTGGCATGGAGGTTAGTCATGATTAGTAGATGACCCCTATTGATTTTGAGGTCACCAGGTTAAAGGTCAAGGTCACAGGGGCCTTGACTTCAAAAAGCTTGTCCGCCCAATAACTTAAGATTCCTTTGACCTACAGTCGTCATATTTGGCATGGAGATTAGTCATGATTAGTAGATGACCCCTATTGATTTTGAGGTCACCAGGTCAAAGGTCAAGGTCACAGGGGCCTTGACTTCAAAAAGCTTGTCCGCCCAATAACTTAAGATTCCTTTGACCCACAGTCTTCATATTTGGCATGGAGGTTAGTCATGATTAGTAGATGACCCCTATTGATTTTGAGGTCACCAGGTCAAAGGTCAAGGTCACAGGGGCCTTGACTTCAAAAAGCTTGTCCTCCCAATAACTTAAGATTCCTTTGACCTATAGTCATCATATTTGGCATGGAGGTTAGTCATGATTAGAAGATGACCCCATTGATTTTGACGTCACCTGGTCAAAGGTCAAGGTCACAGGGGCCTTGACTTCAAAAAGCTTGTCCGCCCAATAACTTAAGATTCCTTTGACCCATAGTCTTCATATTTGGCATTGAGGTTAGTCATGATTAGTAGATGACCCCTATTGACTTTGAGGTCACCAGGTCAAAGGTCAAGGTCACAGGGGCCTTGACTTCAAAAACCTTGTCCGCCCAATAACTTAAGATTCCTTTGACCCACAGTCTTCATATTTGGCATGGAGGTTAGTCATGATTAGTAGATGACCCCTATTGATTTTGAGGTCACCAGGTCAAAGGTCAAGGTCACAGGGGCCTTGACTTCAAAAAGCTTGTCCGCCCAATAACTTAAGATTCCTTTGACCCACAGTCTTCATATTTGGCATGGAGGTTAGTCATGATTAGTACATGACCCCTATTGATTTTGAGGTCAAAGGTCAAGGTCACAGGGGCCTTGACTTCAAAAAGCTTGTCCTCCCAATAACTTAAGATTCCTTTGACCTATAGTCATCATATTTGGCATGGAGGTTAGTCATGATTAGAAGATGACCCCCATTGATTTTGAGGTCACCAGGTCAAAGGTCAAGGTCACAGGGGCCTTGACTTCAAAAAGCTTGTCCGCCCAATAACTTAAGATTCCTTTGACCCATAGTCTTCATATTTGGCATTGAGGTTAGTCATGATTAGTAGATGACCCCTATTGACTTTGAGGTCACCAGGTCAAAGGTCAAGGTCACAGGGGCCTTGACTTCAAAAACCTTGTCCGCCCAATAACTTAAGATTCCTTTGACCCACAGTCTTCATATTTGGCATGGAGGTAAATCATGATTAGTAGATGACCCCTATTGACTTTGAGGTCACCAGGTCAAAGGTCAAGGTCACAGGGGCCTTGACTTCAAAAAGCTTGTCCGCCCATTAACTTTAGATTCCTTTGACCCACAGTTCTTATATTTTGGCATTGAGGTTAGTCATGATTAGTAGATGACCCTATTGACTTTGAGGTCACCAGGTCAAAGGTCAAGGTCACAGGGGCCTTGACTTCAAAAAGTTTGTCTGCCTAATAACTTTAGATTCCTTTGACCCACAGTCTTCATATTTGGCATGGATGTTGATCATGATTAGTAGATGACCCCTTTTGATTTTGAGGTCACTGGATCAAAGGTCAAGGTCATAGGGACTTTGACTTCAAAAAGTTTGTCCACCCATTAACTTAAGATTCCTTTGACCCACAGTCTTCATATTTGGCATAGATGTTGATCATGACTATAAGGTGACCTCTATTGATTTTGAGGTCACTGGGTCAAAGGTCAAGGTCACAGGGACCTTGACAAAAAAAAAGCTTTTCTTCTCAATTGCTAAAGAATGTCCTGCCCGCAATGTATTGATTTTGACATTTTCACATTTGAAGCATGTAGAATACATAACTTAGCAATGCACTGGCTTAGTTACCTCAGATTTGGCAGGGAGGTTGTCCTTGAGCTCTAAATGGCCACTGTTGATTCGGACAAAGTGGTATGCGGGGGTATTCACGCCATGATTGTGGCAGTTCTAGTTTTAATTATTATATATATGTTTACATTACAAAAAATAAGAATAAAATTTGTTACGCGATGTTAATTTTATCTTCAGATAATGATCTTGACGGGGACTTTGGGGAAGATTTCGGTGGTGACAACATTTCAGGTGAGTGTTACATATTTCACTTGTTTCAATTCTCTACAAAAATTATGATTTAAAATAATACTAACAAAAGCTTAATATCATAAGTTGAATGAAATAGAATATTGAAAAATAAGTTATAAGAATAAAGTGTAACAACGCGAATCAGAAGGCGTTATTACGCGGAATGAAAGTTGCAGTATTGTGAATAAAGGCGTTATAAGGCAAACATGTGCGTAAGAACGCAAAAAATGGCCTTTAACACCAGGAAAGGCGTACTTACGCAAAAAACGTTTTAATGCGATGTTATAGACGTCATAACGTGGAACGTGTTACTAACTGGTCACTATAAGTAAAAATAAACTAGATGCGCGGTAATAAGCATTATGTTATTTTTCAATCAGTACAAATAAACCAGATTAACGGTTATATCCATAATGTTATTTTTTAATCAGTAGAAATAAACCAGATTAGCGGTAATAAGCATAATGTTAGTTTTCAACCAGTATAATATGTGTATAGCTATTACTGACTAAAGTTATTTGTTAAAAAACGAGTATGGTAATTTATTTATAACCGAGTTGAATTGACTACAAAGTTAAAAATACCGAGTTGAATTGAGTTGAATTGACTACATACCTGTATTTCAATAGATTGACGATTTTTAATGGTAATAAACCAACAACTTATATTGGATGTTTACGATAAAATAAAGATCTGCATAATGCCCCACTAGTTGTGTCCCCTTTTTAGGAGAGGGCATCTAGATTAACCCTTGTCCGTCCGTCCGTTCTCTTTTGTGTCGCAAGTAGCTCTAAAAGTATTTGACCTAGAGTCATTGAACTTCATAGAAATGTTGATCAGCATGTGTTGTTGTGCACCTGGGTATTTTAGTGTGGATATATATAGTATTTTTAGAGTTGTTGCCCTTGACTAAGTTAAAATTTACAGTTTTCAACTTGTGTTGCACCTAACACAAAAAAATATTTGACCTAGTGTCATGAAACTTTATAGAAATGTTGATCAGCATGATTGTGTTGTTGTGCACCTGGGTATCTTCGTGTGGATAATTTAGTATTTTTAGAGTTATTGCCACTTACTTAGCAGAAATTTACAATTTTCAACTTGTGTCGCACATATCTTAAAAAATATTTGACCTAGTGTCATGACATTTTACAGGAATGTTGATCACATGTGTAGTTGTGCACCTGGGTTTTTTGTGTGGATATAATTAGTATTTTTAGAGTTATTGCCCTAGACTTAGTAAAAATTTGCAATTTTTAATTTGTGTCGCATATATCTCAAAAAGCATTTGACCTTGAGTCATGAAACCTTATGAAATGTTGCTCAGTATGTGTAGTTGTGCACCTGTATGTTCGCTTGTGTATTTATTCTGTTTTGTTAGAGTTTTTACCCTTGACTTAGTAAATATTTGCAATTTTCAACTTGTTTCACATGTAGCTCAAAAAGTATTTGACATCGAGTCATGAAACTTTACAGAAATGTTGATCATGCAGTTGTGCACCTAGGTATTTTCATGTGGATATGTTCAGTATTTTAGAGGTATTGCCCTTGACGTAGTAAAAATTAATAACTTGTGTCTCAAGTAACTCAGAAAATATTTGATCTAGTGTCATGAAACTTTAAAGTTGCTCAGCATGTGAAGTTGTGCACCTGGGGTATCACTTGAGGATTTATTCTGTTTTGTCAGATTTATTGCCCTTGACTTAGAGGCTTCATAACCTCAGATCCCCTTTCAAAATTCCATTTTATTTAGTTTGGCCCATAGTTTTCTCGTTTAGGGCAAAAGCATTCTTTTATTGGGGACCATACACCGCTTTTCATAGAATGGCACTACTGTGTCATATTGAAGGTTCCATGATAACCGCCGTATGAACACATCTGCGGATGTTTCTAAATTCAAAATTTCACTATTTTCGTATTAAATGTTGAATTCTGCTTAAGCCGGTGCTAGGGGGCGTGGACGGTAATTTGCACTTTCCATTACCGTCCATGAACAGGCTCAATCAAACCGAGTCTGCAACATTTTCAAATTTGTCGTGTTGGGCTTTCTCTAGGGATTCTGTATTTCTCTATTTTAGTGATTATTATCTATTATCACCGTTCCATTATGTTGTGTTATTTGTTTCTCGAGTGCTTGGGTTAGAGTCAACCAACTTTACAGGAATAATGATCAACATCACTGTGAAGCTATGCACCTGGGGTTTTGCATGTTCATTTTTTTTCAGTTTTTTAGAGTTATTGCCCTTGACTTAGTATGAATTTGCAATTTTCAACGTGTTCATGCATAACTCAAAAAATATTTGGCCTGT